CATGGAACAAATGGATTTGTGACTTGGGTATCTTCTTTTTGTGATCTTGAGCATTCTTTTTTGGTCAAAGGATTACCTTCTATTCTCAGACTAAGTTATCATTTAGGGCCATTGCAAATCACTTAGCATCTAAAGGAGTGTGGGGCTGGTGGAGTGGCACAAGCAGTAAGAGTGCCTGCTTAGCAAGTGTGAAGCCCTGAATTCAAACCCCAGTGCCTCTAAAATATATATATATATATTAGGGATTGCTGGATGTCAGTGGCTCACACCTGGGATCCTAGCTACTTAGGAGGCAGAGATCAGGAGGATCCCTGTTCAAAGCCAGCCCAGGCAAATAGTTTGTGAGACCCTATCTTGAAAAAAGCCATCACAAAAAGGGCTAGTGGAGTGGCTAAAGGTGTAGGCCCTGAGTTCAAGACCCAGTACCCTGAGAAAAAAAGAGTGTGATGTACTTTCTTAAAAGGATTAATTCAACTTTTGCTGCTCTAAAGGATTATTTAGCAGTCAACATCTTAATCATTTAGGTCTGGCTTCTCTTTAGAATTTAGAATGCCAGTAAAAGGAGTGGAAGCAAAAGCCCCTTTGCCAAGGACAACTCTCATTGGAATGGTATCTAGTATAATGAGATATTTTATTCCTACGTAAAACATTTATAGGGCTAGGGTCTTGGTTCAAGTAGTAGCATGCCTTTCTACTAAGCACAAGGTACTGAGTTCAAACCCCAGTATGGCAAAAAAAAAAAAAAAGTTAAATCTTTTAGATCTTTTAGGGATTTCTTTTAGTCTTAGTTCCTGACTCTGGCTTATATTCATATTTTCTGAGTTCCCTGTCAATTTGTTATATGTATCCTGCCTCAGTAGGAAATGCAAAGGCCCAATGACCAGAGTTGTGAAGACTGTTGGCTGTATTCTCACAGGAGGAAGATACCACAACTGGCCTGGCTCCTCGGTCTCTGAGCTTACTCCCACATCTACCTTTGCCCAGAGCATTCTCCTCCACAGGAGCACCCTCCTCCTTTCCCAGAACACTAGCCAGCTCGGATGACCTGGCAGACCTCTCCTCACCCAGGTCTGACTTGTACTAGGACCCTTCCCTAGAAGGTAGGGGTTGTGGAAGTGTGTCACTCGTTCATTTAGCATATGTCAAGCATCTGCTGTGTGCCAGGAGTGGTGCTAAATAACTAGGAACAGGATATATCAGGAACATGTCACATGAAGGGCTGGCTCTTCCAACCATTATAGTCTACTGGGAGCCAGGCAAGAGTGCTTCTGATGCAGTGGTCACTTCTGGACCTAAATGCAGAGCTCAGTAGTCTCCAAAACTAGAGATGCAGGTTACTCTCACTGTAGCAAGTGCGGAAGTCTTTTTTTTTTTTTAATTTTTTCTTTTATTCATATCTGTATACAATATTTGGGTCATTTCTCCCCGCTTCCCCTGCCCCTTCCCTTACCCCCCACCACCCCCTTCCTCTTCCCCCCAACCCCCTTGCTACCAGGCAGAAACTATTTTGCCCTTATCTCTAATTTTGTTGAAGAAAGAGTATAAGCAATAATAGGAAGGACCAAGGGTTTTTTGCTAGTTGAGATAAGGATAGCTATACAGGGAGTTGACTTGCGTTGCTTTCCTGTGCATGTATATTACCTTCTAAATTAATTCTTCTCAAACTAACCTTTTCTCTAGTTCCTGGTTCTCTTCTCCTATTGGCCTCTGTCGCTTTAAAGTATCTGCATTAGTTTCTCGAAAGTGCAGAAGTCTTGAGGGGCAATAAGGTTATCTTATTGTAAGCAGCAAGGAAGTCATTGAGGCTGGAGATTAGTGATTTGGGGAAAAGGGGAGAAGTTGAGGAAACAAAGCCAGAGTGCCCTGCAGGGTCCTTGCCCACTACAAGTGCCGGCCTGGCATGTGGCGAACAATCCACAGGAATAAGGGCAGAAATTGGAACACCAGTGATGAGGCTACTGTGGGAACAAGGGCAGTCTGGCTTTGCAAGTGTTACCAAAAAGTCAGCACAACTTACCCCTCTGGTCCCTTAGATCTGGTGAAAAATAAGTCAGGCAAGATGTTGAGACGTAGTGAAAGTGATAGTAAAGTTATTAGGAGAGGAATACACTTTCAATAAACTGAAAGCCAGCCCTCTCTAGAGTGAGAACTGGAACAACTGTTATTTTTACCCTGTCCACAAATTTTTAGTGAAGTGGAAAGAGCTTGGATCTCTAAATTCCTCCATAGGACCAGCCTAGGATCATGAGGCTAGGGTAGGACTACAGATTCACAAATGTAAGTTATTATTTTGTCCATCTGACCCCTAAAATACGGTTTACTAGGCCTGTTGTTATTAAGTTAAAGTTTAGAAACTGATGTCCACCCATCTTGAGGTGGTTGGGAGATTCAAAAACATCTTGTGAAGCCAGGTGCCCGTGGCTCACTACTGTAATCCTAGCTACTCAGAAGGCTGAGATCAGGAGGATCGTGGTTCAAAGCCAGCCCAGGAAAATAGTTTGGTAGATCTTATCCCCCAAAAAACCCTTCACAAAAAACAGGCTGATGGAGTGGCTCAAGGTGTAGCTCCTGAGTTCAAACCTCAGTACCAGAAAAAAAAAAAAATCTTCTGATATCCCATGACCTTGGTGGACTATTTTGATCTTAATGGAGGATGTTAAGAGTTGGAAAGTTTAGTTACAATGTTTATCTCTCAGCAACCTTGAAGAATAGTGCATTTTAGTTTCGTTTTACATATCTCCAGCACTCAGGGCTAACTGCTACCCAACAGAGAGTAGAGTTGGTGAGACTTGGTGACCACCTAGGTTGTGATTCTGACACTGAGGCATCCAGAGTCTAGGATGACCCTAGGTCTGCTGAGAGGGGGATTGGGTAGATGGTAGGGTCATTGTGAAAAAGGGAGAAAGGGAAGACCTTCTGATCTTTGTCCACAGTGCTAGCAAGGGTCATTGCTAACCAGGCCTTCCCACCCAACAACAGTCATAGTTCCTAACACTTGCAGAGCTTGTGGGGGTGTGGAACTGATAAACCTCCTGACAACAGGGCTGCCCCTCCAAGGGCCGATAGTTTCCTGAGGCTGCTGGGCTGGCAAGATGTTCAGACTGGCCAGGGTCCAAGGCCATCCGGGCCTTTCCAATCCCTCCCCTCCTCCATTTAACTCTTGGCTCTGGATCTCTACCTGTACCTAGCTCTAGCAGAGGGTCTCTGTGGTCTCCATGTCATTCTCAGCAATTCTCTGCTGATGCCAAGGGTGAAAGTGGAGGAGGCAGGGCCTAAGGTAATGTATAGTTGGACCTTAAGGGAGGAGGGTACCCCAATCATTTTGTTTTACTGTAAGAATTCAGAATGGAGCCAGGTGCCAGTGGCTCACCCCTGTAATCCTAGCTGCTTGTGAGGCTGAGATCAGGATGATCATGATTTGAGGTCAGCCTAAGCAAGTGGTTTCAGAGATCCCCATCTCCAAAAATAACCAGAGCAAAAATAGACTGGAGGTATAGCTCAAATAGTTGAGCTCCTGCTTTATAAGCTCAAAGTCCTTAAAACCACATCCCACCAAATTAAAAAAAAACCCACAAAAACACTTCAGTATAGGCAGTCCAAGATGGCAGTCAATCTTATCCTGGGATCAAGTTGGTTACAACGGAAGGAAGGGGCAGGACAGAGGTCTTGTGACCAGGTGGTGATAAACAGAGTGTAGCTGGCTTAGTGGGGGCAGGACATTGTGGAGGATCAAGACCTCCAATTGACAGCATGGTGGCATACATCCATAATCCCAGCACTAGGGAGGTGGAAGCAGGAGAATCAAAACGGTATTTCCTCCATCCCAGAATGACATACAGTTTCAGCATATTCTGCCTTTGCCCACTGTAGGCCCCAGTTCCTAGCAGGCACTAGTTTTGAGGTGGAAGGGGCTTGGAGTGTTAGGTCTCTCCCCAGGTCTTGTGGCTAGGGTAGGTCTACAGATTTACAACGTTATCAACTATTATTGGGTCCCCCTGACCCCTAGGATATGGTTTACAAGCCTGGGCCTTTTTTCTTTTTCTTTTTTTTTTTTCCAGCACTGGGGCTTGAACTTTAGGCCTACACCTGGAGCCACTCCACCAGCCCATTTTTGTCATGGGTTTTTTTGAGATAAGATTTCATGAACTATTTGCCCCCGCCTTTGAGCCCCTATCCTCCTGATCTCTGCCTCCTGAGTAGCTAGGATTACAGGCGTGAGCCACCCATGCCTGGCAGGCCTGGGCCTTTGTTTTGTTAAGTAAAAGACCTATTTCAGGAACTGATGTTGACCCACCTTAAAGTGGATGACTCAAAAACATCTTGTGATATTCTATGATCTTGGTGGGCTATTTTGATTCTAACAGGGGCTTTTAAATGTTTTTCCCTCAGAGACCTTGAAAAATGCTCCATTTTAGGTTTCCTTTGCATTTTCCAGTGGCTCATGGCGAACTGCTACCCAACAGTCCTACCTGCATCTCTACTCCCAAAAGAGAGACGGTACGGGGGTCTCTGGGCAGGGGTGGCCTAACCCACATACCGTCGGAGACAAGTTAGGAAGAACCAGTGTGGGGGTTGCACAAAGGTCCTAATCAGGTGCTGGTCACCTAAAGTCTGCCCAGTACTCCCCCTCTTCTTGCTTTGGCAGAGGTCGTTCAATTACAGCGAGCGCTGAACACTGTTATTCCCTTCTCGGCTTGGTCTGTTTCCGATGCTCCAAGTGCGGGAGGCGCAGGAATCGGGAGTGTGGACTTCGGGAAGCAGAGGCTAGGCTGGGTACACATCCACGGTGGACTGGGCTGTGGGTGACTGACTGACCAGAAGGTACCGCGATCGAAGCGATCGATGCGCTCGACTCTCAGCACTGTTGAGGCCCAGGGATGGGCAAGGGCGGGGTGGTCAGCTCGGGTGGGAGGGACGAGGCTAGCGGCGAGTCTCGATTGGTCGGCTATGTGATAGAGGCGGGTCCTAATTGGCTGGGTGACTGCGAGCGGCGGGGTTAAGCACAGTCGCCACTGCTTGGGCCTAGGTACAAGCTCTTAGGTCTAAACCCGCACCTCCGAGCTGCTGGAGCAGCTGCATAGCATGGACCACCGTCTCTGCTCTTGCCGCGCTGCCCTGCTCCGGAGTGGCTTCATGTTCCTCCTACTGCTGCTAATGCTGCTCGCGGATCCGGCTCTCCCGGCCCAACGTCACCCCCCGGTGGTACTTGGTGAGTCGCGCGTCTGGTTGGTAGTGGGTGGGTCCTGCAGGACTGGGTGCGGGTAGGGCCGTCTTCCCGGTCTGCATCTGTTTTATGCACGTAATGGGAGAGCGGCTAGGTGACTATCTTGGCACTTGGGTCGGTTGGCCCACCCACCTCCCGCCATGCTGGGCACGGGTGTGGTCAGCCTTCCACCACCTGTGCCCCCTAATGGGCGTGTTACGGTCTGATCATCAACTCCACCTGTCCACATCAGTCTCAAACGTTAACTCATTGTATCCCCATTTCTTAGCTGAAAATACTGAGGCGGTTCAGCACCGCCCCTGAGGGCTGGTGAGAGTGGGGAGAATGGCCTCAGAATTGGTCTTTTACCCTCGACCTTCTGTATTTCAGAAGACATTACTGGAAGCAAGTTCTTTATCATCCTAGCTGACCACCAAGTTTTGTTTACCCTCACCCTCAGTTTATCAAGTAGGGGGTACCGGGCCTGAAGGAGAAGGCCTAAGGGCAAAAGGATGACCTAAAGGTAGGAGAAAGTGTTGGGACATCTGCTCTGAACAGGTGTCAGGAAGCAGGGCTGTACTTTCAGCTCTGGGTGACCTCCCTGCCCACTTCCTCCATGGTCCCAGGAGGCACGGTGTTTTGTGTGTGTGTGTGCGTGCAGGTGGACTAGGATGAGGCCTCTATCTGGACAGGCTTAGGTGCCTCCTCCTGTCCATGGCTTCCATCTAGAGCTGGTGTGTTGGTAGCCCGCCAGGACTTTTGACAGCAGAGGCATACTGAGGCCTAGGTCACATAGGGATTCTGCAGGAGCATGACCTCCCCTGCTCTTTCTTCTGAAACTATTTTAATGAGGATAACGCAAGGTGGTCCTAGGAGGCTCCAATAGGAGTTCTGGGTCAGAAAATGTTCCAGAGGGATTCTGAGATTTGTGCAAACTTGGCCCTGCTTTCCCCAGACTTTCAGCATAGGACTAACAGTGACCTCAACATAGAGAATCACTAAGCCAGGGTGAATGAGTGAGCATCCAGGAAGGTTTCCTGGAGTATGCTGGAGCTAGGGTCAGGAGAGGGGAACAGTCAAGGTTGACCAGAATAGAGGGGAGTGGGGAGTGGGCTGTGCTGGGCTCGTGACTTATTGGGTCATCTGGACTTTATCCTGGGGGCCAAAGGGAGCCATGTGTGTACCTAAGGAGTTCTGAGTATGAGGGATGTAGCATTGGGAAGTATGTGGTCTGTAGCCACATACATTTTACCATATTTTTGCCTGGACTGATGCTAATTGCAATCATTAATTCATCCAGTCCTTGGCTGTCCAAGATTACAGCAGAGGAGCCTCAGATCCCAGAGGGGCTTGAACAGCTAGAATCCTAATTTGTCCATCATCTCAGGGAGTGAAGCTGATGGTGTTAACTAAGAGACCCCAATGGAGAGCAGAGTGAGCTGTTCCTAGGCACAGAGTAGGGATCTGGCCTTGAGGATCAAAATCCTCTGGGGTAGGTTTGTGGAAGAGGCAGCAGAAAAAGAGAAGTGACCTTGGGCAAGAGGAAGAGACTTAGGTAAGACAGTCACACCTCTCCCAGCCTCAGTCTCCTCATCTGTTAGGTAGTGATAAAGATGTCCCCTCCCAGTGTTATTTGAAGTGAAAGACACTCCTAGGTATGGCTCTAGTTCTAGGCACAAAGAAACTCAGGAAGTAGCCACTGCTATTTTTAGGAGCCACACACAGCCTGACCAGGACAAGGGGTGCCTGGGTAAAGCAGATCCAATGACTTCCTCTTTCAGCCATTCCCCTTTGGTAGAGACTGACCAGTCCACACCACCCACATCATGAAGGGAGGTAAAGACAGGTGCCACACCTGCTTCCCGTGACACCCTGAAGACCCTAAGATATCCTAAACAGGGAAGGCAGGCCCTGGGCTGGGCTGGGTTTTTTCTGAATGCCTAGGAAAGCTGAGCACTGGCACTTTACTTAGTGCTCATGTTTCCTAAAAGGGGCTGTGTTTGAAAGTGTCTAGGGCATAGCACATGGGAGCAGGTGTGGCTTAGAAAGTCAATGGGAGTGAGTAGACTGAAAGTCTTTGGATGCTGGGTATTGCCTTAGGTGTCACCTGGGCTTCAGTGATCCATAAGACATCCTTGGGGCCTGGTCACACCCACTCCTTTGGGCTGCAGCTGGAATGGTATGCTATTTCACCATAGCAATCTGTATGTAGCACAGGCTCCCAGCCATGCTATGGATTTATTTATTTATTTATTTATTTATTTATTTTGTGGTACTGGGGCTTGAACTCAGGACCTACACCTTGAGCCATTCCACCAGCCCTATTTTTGTGAAGGGTTTTTTTTTTGAGATAGGGTCTCATGATGAACTGTTTGCCCAATGGCTTCAAACCAACATCCTCCTGATCTCTGCCTCCTGAGTAGCTAGGATTACAGGCATGAGCCACTGGCACCATGTTTATGTTTAGCATCTTGCTAGAAATCTGTCATGGGAACATAAGAATTGAGGACCCCAACCAAAACTCCCAGTAACAAGAGATGGTGATGGTGACTTGGGCTCAGATAAAGAAACTGAAGGCTTTCATGGGGAAGTGAACCCTCTTCAGTGATCTGAGAGGCCCATGAGGAAGTTCCAGTGATGATCTTGAGGATTTATTTTATCTGAAGTTGGGGAGAGTGTTACAGGCCTCCCCTCAAACATGTCAGGCCTTTCCCAAGTCCCCCCAACAGGGTAGAGCCTGCAGGTTTTTTTCTTACTAATGTGTGCCCTGTAGCAGTAGCAGCTTTTCTGCTTGAAGTAGGTGCCCTGGCCTCTATCAAGGTCCCTAATCTCTGATTTTCTTGTCCCTCCATAGAGGAACTGCAGAGGTCTGTAATCGTATTTATAGCTGTGGAGGATCTTCTGCAGACTTCAGGGTTCTTCACCCTGCCAGGCCCAGGGCTTACGTATGTCCTTGTCTCCTTGCAGTGCCTGGAGATTTGGGCAACCAGTTGGAAGCAAAGCTGGACAAGCCGACAGTTGTGCACTATCTTTGCTCCAAGAGGACAGACAGCTACTTCACACTCTGGCTGAACCTTGAACTGCTGTTGCCTGTCATCATTGACTGCTGGATCGACAATATCAGGTGGGGCCTGAGGCACACAGACGGGGTATCACTCACCAGTGGGGCCCAGAGAAGCCTCCAGAGTCCATTTCCTTCTCATCCTGCCTCAAGAAACCTGGAGATCAGAGACTGTTCTCCTGCCTTCCCCAGGCCTGTAATCTGGCCTGGTCTGGTCTTGTTCCATCTCTCCCAGACAGGGAAAAGTTTTCCCTTCTTCTGCTCTTGTTCCTTTCCTCTTTAGTTCAGCCATCAGGCCCTAAATATAGTTTTCTTTTTGTTTTGTTTTGTCTTTTGAGACAGGGTCTCGCTATGTAGTTCAGGCTGGCCTCGAATATGCTATGGGGCTCAGGCTGTGAAACTCAGTCTTCCTGCCTCAGTCTCAAGTGCTGGAATCACAGGTATGCCACACCACACCTGGCACTATACGAAGTTTCTATGCTCAAAACCCTATCTACAGCCTCACCATGGCTCCACTCCTTCTCTCTAAGAGTACTCTTCCTGGTATATGCCTTGTCTCCACGTCTTCATATATGCAAAAAGCTGCTGCTGCTACAGGGCCCACGTTAGTGGGAAAGTAGCAAAGTAGTGTTCAGGCTCATACCCTGTTGGGGGGACTTGGGAAAGGCCTGACATATTTGAGGGGAGGCCTCTAAAACTCTCCCCAACGTCAGATAAAATAAATCTCTTAGATCTTCATTGGAACTTCCTCATGGGCCACTCAGATCATTGGAAGAGGAGTCTTCATAGAATCTTTTTTTTTTTTTTTTAACACGGTACTGTGGTTTGAACTCAGCACCTACTCCTTGAGCCACTCCACCAGCCCTTTTTGGTGATGGCTTTTTTCGAGATAGGGGCTCACAAAGTATTTGCCTGCAACTGGCTTTGAACCGTGATCCTCCTGAGTAGCTAGGATTACAGGTGTGTGACCAGTACCCAGCCTTCATGGAATCTTTGCCCCATAAATTTCTTCCCACTCACCATTTAAAACCTAACCCTAGTGGGGCACCAGTGCCTCATTCCTGTAATCTTAGCTACTCAGAAGGCAGAGATCAGGAGGATCATGGTTTAAAGCCAGCCCAGGTAAATAGTTCCCAAGACCCTATCTCGAAAAACACTTTCACAAAAAAGGACTGTGGAGTGGCTCAACATGAGGCCCTGAGTTCAAACCCTAGTACTGCAAAAAATAAAATAAGTTAAAAAAAAAAGATAAAATCTGACCCCAGTCTCTTTGTGAAATCCCTCTGCCCTTGTCTGCCTCCCCCAGGTCAAATGTATGTTTCCTTTAACCCTCACCAAGTAACGAACTACCTTTGTAAGGATGATTCCCACAATTAAACATGGGAATTGTATATTTTGCATACAGTGATGTCCCCATGGTGACATTTTAGTTGAGGACAGGCTATGTATATGAAGGTTGTTCCATAATAATATAATGGAGCTGAAAAATCCTGGTCATCTAGTGACATCGTAGCCATCTAACCTAATAGGGATTGCATTAGTCACTTGCTTGTTGTTCAAATCCCAGTCCCCACCAAAAGAAAAAAGTCACATGCTTGTGCTGATGCTGATGTAAACAACTCAGTACATAATACTTGATGCTAATAACTTGACTATGTTACTAATTTTTGTATTTACTATCACACTTTATTGTTTTGGAGTATACTCCTACTTAAAGAAGTTAACTGGGTGGTAGTGGCACCTGTCTATAATTCCAGTACTCAGGAGGCTGAGGCAGGTAGATCATGAGTTCCAGGCCAGCCTGGGCTACATAGCAAGACTTTGTCTCAAAGTATAAACAAAGGGCTGGCGAAGTGGCTCAAGTGGTAGAGCAACTGCCTAGCAAGTGTGAGAAAACCTGAATGGAAGCAATACTGCCAAAAAAGGAAAAACAAAACAAAGCAAAAACCCCCAAAAGTTTTACTGTAAATCAGTATGCTGTATTATACCAGCCTCATCTTATTTTTTTTTTTTTATTTTTATCTTTTTTAACAATACTGGGGTTTGAACTCAGGGACTACACCTGGAGCCATTCCACCAGCCCTTTTCTGTGAGGGGTTTTTTTGTGACTCTGGAACTAATTGCTTGGGCCAGGTTTGAACCACAATCCTCCTGATCTCTGCCTCCTGAGTAGCTAGGATTACAGATGTGAGCCACTGGCACTTGGCTTCATGTGGTTTTTTTGCTTTTTGTTAATTATTGGTTTGGTTTTCATGTAGTCCAAGATGGCTTACTCATAGTCATTCTCCCTAGTGCTGGGATTGCAGCCATACACAACTATACTTTTTTTTTTTTGAGATAGTATCTTACTATGTTGTTCAGCTTGACCTTGAACTGGTAGTCCTCCTGTCTCCACTTCCAAAGTTCTGGGATTACAGGCATGCTCTGCCACATTTAGCATATGTCTCATGTTTGCTTTGTCTCTTGATTGCATCAAGAGGCCACATAAAGTAATTGACCTACACTGTGTAGGTTTGTGTCAGTACACTCTAATGTTAACACGATAATGAAATCACCAAATGACGCATTTCTCAGAAGGTATCCCAGTTCTCAAGTGACGCATGACTAATTTGATTTAATCTTTCAACACTCCTCTTAGAACAAGTGCTGTTTTTAAACCTGCCTTACAAGGACTGGGGAGGTAGCTCAGTGGTAGTACACTTGCCTAGCGTATTTAAGACTAGGTTTGGCCAGCACCTGTGGCTCATACCTGTAATCCTAGCTGCTCAGGAGGGAGAGATCTGGAGGATCACCATTCAAAGCCTCTCTCAAAAAACCCTTCACAAAAATAGGGCTGGTGGAGTGGCCCTGAGTTCAAGCCCCAGTACTGCAAAAATAAAATAAAACAAAAAAAAACCCTGGGTTTGATCCCTAGCACTGGAACAAAACAAAACAAACTTGCATTATACATATGGAAATCTGGAAACTCAAAAAAATTATAAATTAAACTCAGTTAACAAGTTACTGAATCAGTATTCAAACCCAGATTCTGAGCTAAGGTTCCCTCTCTCACTGGCAGGGACTGTATCTCAGTTTTTATCTTTAGCAAACAGTCCCATAATGTTTGAGCTGACTGGAACTTCACAAATTAAAGTTTTTTCCCAAAGCCCTGCTGGCTGGTTCTCTAGGCACCCTGCTGTTCCCTGTTGTTTATATTGTCTGCTTTGTTGACTCTTTCTTCCTTGGTGTGCGATCAGGGTTATTTCTGGGCTGTTGATCCACATTTCTATTTTTGTAGTAGAGACTGGCTTCAGGTACTGCCAATTGGAGGCTGACAGTGAGAGGGGCTCGTCTGCCTTTGTTATTCCTCTGACCTGTTTAGATTTTCATCTAGTACAGAGCTACTTTTGGTTTTCCAGAACACTTTATTTTTTTCTGTACTTTTTTGGATGGGCATTTGGATAATCTTTAGATTGGAGAGAATCAGGTCCAGGACCTATTATTTGGGTCAACATTGGAGATCTGTCAGCTTTCTGTGACTTTTTTTTTTTTTTTTTTAAGCAGTTCTGTGGCTTGAACTCAGGGCCTATACCTTAAGCTACTCCACTAGCCCTTTTTTGTGATGAGTATTTTTGAGAAAGGGTCTCTTGAATATTTGCCTGGGCTGGCTGTGAACTGTGATCCTCCTGATCTCTGCCTCTTTGGTGTCAGTCTAGGCCATAGAAAGGGACCTAGTCTGGCACAAGGCTTTTCTTCTTTCTCCTTCCAGCCCATCTCCACCACTTTTCCAGGCCTTACAAACCCGTTTTCTGAGGAGGGAGGGTAGAACAGCCATGTATTCAGCACTGGGATGGGGGTCCCTTTTGTCTGGTTCTGTTTTACACTGCAGCTACAGAAGCTATAGGATAACATGTGGAGTGTTAGAGTTACTAACGCTATGGCAATTCATGTGCCAAGGCCTTTAGGAATTTGCTAGCCAAATCCTAGATGTCGTGGTTCTTGGCCGGTGACATGGGCCTGGGATACTAAGTAGGCCACATGGAGTGGTTCATCTCCTTCCTACATAGATAGGGTGACTGGAGGGAGGCTGGCTGCTGTGTCAAGTGCCTAGACCAAGTGGGACCCAGCTGTACCCATCTGTTTGCACAAGGCCTTTCTCCTGTCTCTCCCCACCAGTCCTATCATTCCTCTGCCCCATGCCCTCCCTTCTTCCCACCCATCTACACAGTAGCTACCAGTGCTCAGGCCCTGAGGTGGCCCTGACCTTGTGTACTATGTTCACCATGTCCTTTACTTTATGATGTGTTGAAATGGGTGGCATGAGCTGGATCCATGGAGGTGGAGCAATGGGAACCTGCAAGAGTTCAGTTCATGGCAGAGCTAGGGCCTTTTAACTAGCACAAGACTCATTCTGGGGCAGGTGATAGTGGGGAGAAAGGAATTTTGCCTTGACATGAGTTCTTTGTTTAGTTTTTGGAGTAAACTTTGGTGATGGTTCTCATTTGGATGTGGTTACTCTGATCTGTGCATAAATCTGCTTTTTAAAAAAAAATTTTCTTTTTTTGGTGTGGTACTTCGGATTGAACTCAGGGCCTCCTGCTTGCTAGACAATCACTATACCACTTGAGGATGCCCCCAGCCCTTGTGTTGTTACCTTTTTGTCTCCTGTACACATCTGACCAAACCTTGTACATACCAAGCTCAGCATCACTTCTGGGTCACCATCTCAATATCTTCTCCTTGACAGGCTGGTTTACAACAGAACATCCCGGGCCACCCAGTTTCCTGATGGTGTGGATGTCCGTGTCCCTGGCTTTGGGAAGACCTTCTCATTGGAGTTCCTAGACCCCAGCAAAAGCAATGTGGGTATGTACAGTAGTAGCTCTTGCTCAGGACTGCCAGGGGATGGGGATGGGGTCTCTGATAGACTACTAGAGGGGAAGGAACCCATGGATTTGAAGGGGATAGCATGTGAGCTGACCCTGATCAGTTTGGGCACAGATCTCTGTAGTCTTTCTCCAGGGATCTCCTTTCAGGAGACAAATGTCACAATCTCTGTGGCTGATGTGGTATGTGCAGGTGGCTAGCACTGGCTCTATCTTCTCTAATCCTATGCATTTCTGCCTATAGGTTCCTATTTCCACATCATGGTGGAAAGCCTTGTGAACTGGGGTTATATACGAGGTGAAGACGTCCGAGGGGCTCCCTATGATTGGCGCCGAGCCCCAAGTAAGAAGTCACCTTCATTCCCTCTGTATAGTTTTGGGTGGCGGGAACAAAGCAGTCTTAGCTACCATAGGCCTTAGGCTTTCTTCTGGCCCTGGGCTCTCACCTCCTTCTGGGCCTCTTGCATCCATCCCAGTGATCCCAACCACCAGCTCTGTTCAGTCCTGTCCTGTCCTTCCCTATCCCTCATTCCAGGAGCTCTGGGCCTCTGAGCCCTGGAAGGAAGGGACGGTTTAAGACTGAGTGGGAAAAGGAGCCCCTGTGGCTTCCCTTCATGGAAACTGGGGAAAGGGAGGGCATTAGATTGCTTCCACTTGGGTCTTAACATTCTTCCTACCCACTAGTCCTGGGTCTGGCCTGAGAATTGGTTAGTGGTTCCTTCCTGACCTCTGCCTGGCTCTGGCCTGCAGATGAAAATGGGCCCTACTTCCTGGCCCTCCGAGAGATGATCGAGGAGATGTACCAGCTGTATGGGGGCCCTGTGGTGCTGGTTGCCCACAGCATGGGCAACATGTACACGCTCTACTTTCTGCAGCGGCAACCCCAAGACTGGAAGGACAAGTATATCCATGCCTTCGTGTCACTAGGTGCCCCCTGGGGGGGCGTGGCCAAGACCCTGCGAGTCCTGGCCTCAGGTAAGAAAGACCTACCTAGCCCAGTGTTCCCAGGAATGTCTTCCCCCTCTTTCCTTCCAAGTGTCCTCCAGGCTAGTACCCTTTGTATCTCTTTCCTGGGCTTGTACCCTTCTTTTTCCAGAGTGGCATTTTTATTCAAATATCTCTCTTCCCCACCCCCCAAAAAAAAAAAAAGAATCTAAGACTATTCCTAATTTCACCTCTTAGTGGATAGCCCTTGAAATCTGTGTTAAGTTTCTTACATGTTTCACATGGAGTGACAAAACTATTGGTCATACAGGTACTTGTACATGTACACACGTACACACACACACACACACACACACACACACACACACACACACACACACAGTGATTTTTGCTCCAGAGTTCTTTGGGGCACTGTCTCATTCCCTCTCACGTTTTTATCCCCACCTTTGCCTCATAGGTGGAAGGTTGGATTTCCGTTTCCTGTTTATGAGTTTGCACCTCCATCTGTGGGCAGAGGGGTGTCTGTGGGCAATACAGGGAGGAAGCAGGTGCAGAGCTGTCTGGGCCTGCTTGCCTGGCAGTTGGGAAAGTCACCCCCTTCCTGAATCCTCCCCAATCCACTTGCCTTTTCATGACTCTCAGAACCTGCCAGGTGCAGCCATGGGGCGGGGCTTCTTGCCATAGGAGGAAACTTCCCTCTGCCAGGACTGGGTAGGAGCCCAGTGGCCTCCCACTTTGGGGACTGTGAGCCAGGGTCATGCCAGGAATTTCATGAGCTTTCTTTCTGTAGTCACTAGCCCTGTGTGACCTGCTTGGACAACTGATCATCCCGATTGGGTCAGGTCCAGTACCTCTCCCAGCAGTGATCTTGAATTGACTAGACAATGAACTCATGGTTAAGACATTCAGATACAGTGAGGATTCATCACAGCCACCTACAATGTCCATCCTGGACCTAGAGGGAAAGACATGGGTACCTCCTGAGTTTGAGCAGGGAGCCGTGATAAAGTTCCCTGTGAGACTCCTTAGAGCTTTGCCTTAGATGCTAGGAAACTGGTATCGGCCATGGCTGTCTAAGAATGGGGGTGAGTTGGGTGCCGGTGGCTCATGCCTGTAATTCTAGCTACTCTGGAGGCAGAGATCTGGAGAATTGCAGTTTGAAGCCAGTCTGGGGCACATAGTTTGTGAGACCCTATCTTGAAAAAATCCATCACAAGGAAGGGCTGGTGGAGTGACTCAAGGTGTAGGTCCTGAGTTCAAACCCCAGCACTACAAAAATAAATAAATTAAATAAATAAATAAATAATAAATAAATAAATAAATAGGGGGAAGGTATGGGGAGGTGGGAGTGCATGAGCCCCAGGGGATTCCCTTTCCTCAGGGATCCTGGAGGGATCCCTCAGCAGGCAGGCAGGCTAGGGTCAGTAAGAGAGGCCACCCTGTTTTCAGATATAGGGTGGTGTGATGGGTGACCATGGTGCCCAAACAGGTTAGCGGCCTCTGTTCCCAAGTTCAGCTCACCCCCTGGAGGGCCCATTGGCTGGTGGTTGTGTTTGTGGTGTTCACATTCCTGGGTGTGAAGGGCTGACTATCTGCAGATTCCTCACTGCCCTGTCTCCTACAGGCCTGGCCACCCAGGTTAGTTAGCACAGAGACAGGTGGGTAGGATGAGACCTGGCTGGCTGAATGCCAGTTGGGCCCAGGAAAAGAAAAATGTAACACAGTTTCAATGTAATCAAGAGAGAAAGGACTGTCCCCCTGCTTTACCTTTAGATAAGGGCCAAGCCCACAGGCATGGTGATATGTCTGGAAGTTCGGTAACTCATTTACGATGAGGCGACAATAAATTGCTCACCCCTGGAGGGCCCATTGGCTGGTGGTTGTGTTTGTGGTGTTCACATTCCTGGGTGTGAAGGGCTGACTATCTGCAGATTCCTCACTGCCCTGTCTCCTACAGGCCTGGCCACCCAGGTTAGTTAGCACAGAGACAGGTGGGTAGGATGAGACCTGGCTGGCTGAATGCCAGTTTGGGCCCAGGAAAAGAAAAATGTACACAGTTCAATGTAATCAAAGAGAGAAAGGACTGTCTGCTTTACCTTAGATAAGGCCAGAGCCCACAGGCATGGTGATATGTCTGGAAGTGGTATCATTTACAGATGAGGCGACAATAAATTACTCTGGGGTTATGTGCTGCCTAAATTCCTGATGAGGAAATACAAAAAAAAAAAAAAACAAGGCTTAGATGTGTCCTTTCCAAATGTAGTAGGAATAAAGGGAAACAAAAGCCAATGAAGCAGCCAGGTGCAGGTGGCTCACACCTGTAATCCTAGCTACTTAGGAGGCAGAGATTAGGAGAATTGTGGTTTGAAGCCAGACTGGATTGATAGACCCTATCTCGAAAAAACCAATCACAAAAAAGAGCTGGTGGCAAGATGTAGGCCCTGAGTTCAAGATCCAGTAACACACACACACACACACACACACGCACGCACGCACGCACGCACGCACTCACGCACGCGCGCCAGTGCAGGGTCCAGGGATGGGAGAGTCAGGATAATTGACAGGGACAGGTAGAGATTCTGGATTGTTGACTGGGCCACTGGCTAGGGTCCAGCAGGAGGCTGGTGGTGAATTTGCTTCCCAGCCAGCTTGCCTTCTTCAACACAGACTGACTGGAACCCTCTCCCTCTAGGAGACAACAATCGTATCCCTGTCATTGGGCCGCTGAAGATCCGGGAGCAGCAACGGTCTGCTGTCTCTACCAGCTGGCTACTGCCCTACAACCACACCTGGTCACCTGAGAAGGTGTTTGTGCACACACCCACAACCAATTACACACTGCGGGACTATCGCCAGTTTTTCCAGGACATTGGGTTTGAAGATGGCTGGCTCATGAGGCAGGACACAGAGGGGCTGGTTGAAGCCATGACACCACCTGGCGTGCAGCTGCACTGCCTCTATGGCACTGGTGTCCCCACACCAGATTCCTTTTACTACGAGAGCTTCCCTGACCGCGATCCTAAAATCTACTTTGGCGATGGTGATGGGACTGTGAACTTGGAGAGTTCCTTGCAGTGCCTGGCTTGGCACAGCCTCCAGAAACATCAAGTGTTACTGCAGGAGCTCCCAGGCAGTGAGCACATCGAGATGTTAGCCAATGCTACCACTCTGGCCTATCTGAAACATGTGCTCCTTGGGCCTTGATTCCTGTGCCAGGCAGGGCTGCTGGATGGCTCAGCCATGGGCTTTTTCTCTGGGGCTTTCATGGCCTACACACTTAGCAAAGTTTGTGATCAGCCATTCAATGTCCTGGGTCTTAGACTATGAAATGTCTGGGGGAAATGCTCTTATCCTAACTCTGTGGCAGAAAAAGGAAGAAATGGGTGTGGACTCAAGGGATCCTTGACGGAAAGAATGCTGCTGATGGAATTGCTGTGATTGGCTCTGTAGGGTAGATTGGTTGGCTCCCAGCCCCAATCCCCAACTTGGGGGCCAGGTAGTCCTCCTACCCTACAGCCTTTCCATTCTTGTCCTCTGGGCCCTGGCCTTCCTCTGAGGGATATTACTGAGCTGTGGTACATGCCCTCAAAGGTCTCTTGGGATGACCCTTCCCATACACTGGCCTCAAGTAGGCCTATCATTGTCCATGGATGGCCAGATCTCCTGGCTTCTCTGTGGCTTCCTAGGGGCACCCTGGTAGTCCCTGCAGGCAGGGGCAGTTTTTTTTTTTTTTTTGCCATTGTTCCTAGGCCCTGGGACATTCACTCTACTCCTACCTCCTATCTCCAGGAGCAGCCTGGGCAGTAGAGAGCCCCCCCAGTTCTTGGGGCTATGTCCTAGAAGACCTGGTCTCCTTGGTTTTGCTGTGAGTCCCAATATTGAAGCTGGTTCTGTGGCTCTGGGATTGCAGTTCAAGGACAGCAGAGCCCAGTGCCTTGGCCTTCTAGGTAACTGTGAAGAAAGGGAACTCAAGGAAGCAATCAGAGCTGCCCTCTTGCAAACTCCACCACTACACTGCACCCTGCCCTAGGGTGTCTAGCACCCAGTTGGGCTGACACAGGACTGAAAGGTGGTGGGGGACTCCTGCTCCCACCAGGCAGTTGAGTGGTATTTAGTCTGCAGGGTTTAGTCTAGAGACTTGAATGCACCTCTGTACGAACCAGGAACCTAGGGTCCCTGCCCTAGAGTTCCTTTCTGTCTGTCCCAGGGATGCTGCATGTCTCCCAGTGACAGCAGGGATGGAGAATCTGGGTCTGCCTTAGTGGCAGTGGGCTCTAGGTGGGCACCCAGAAGCTTAGCAAAGCTTGTAACTGACCATTCAAGGTCCTGGGTCTTGGGCTGTGAACCATCAGGGGAAATAAGTGTTATCCTTCCTCTGGCAGTGAGAAAGGAAGAAATGTGTGTGGACCCTTGATGGAAAGAATGCTGCAGATAGTGGAATTGCTGTGGCTTCAGACTTTAGTTTGGGGTCCCAGAGCCACTTTCAGGCTGGACTGTGGCTCTCCTACAAAGTTGCTGTGGCACTGGATTGTCATGTGCTTGGTATCTGTCTCTATCCCTGAGTGGTGGGTCCCACATGGGTCCCTGAGCAGGCTGTACCTCAGTTCTGGCAATAAAAGTATTCTGGATGCTGTAAGGTGCCTTGGTTCACTCAGCATGAGAGAAGGGAGGTGGTGGAGGTGTGAGGGTGCTAGAGAGTTGGGTAATTAGGGGCTGGAGCTTTACTGCGGCCTGTCTGGGGTCTCTATACTGGAGCTCATCGTTCCCTGCCTTGGGCGCTTCATCCCCCTGCCTTCTCTCTTGTAATCCACTTCCCATCTGGGACCAAGAAACAAAATCTGAAACGTCTTTTAGAATGGGGTTCTTGCCCTCTCCCTACCTCTGCCTGGTCAGCAGGCTCCACATGATGGCCCGGATCTGGGGGCAAGGACAGTCCTGCAAGTCATCCTGGCTGTCCTCCCTAGCTCTGTCTTTTCCCCAGTTCACAGGTCTCAGGATGCTTTGAACTTAGAGTTCCTTTTAAGATGTCACCCTTCTTGGAATCTTCAGCTCATTTCCGGATGTTCCTTTTGGGAACAAAAGCACTGAGGGAGGGGAAGAGAGACTAGGCTTAGACTGGCATGGTCAGAAAGAGATGCGAGACCAAATGGAAATGGGCAAAGGTTGGAGGCAGGGATGAGGTCCCAAGCCTGAACGTTGGAATCTAGGCTTTGATACACCATAGGCCACTAGAGGGCGTCCCAAAGTCTCTCACTGCCCCAGCTACAAATACTTTGTTAGCCAGACCTGGAAGGAAGGCGTAGCCAAGAGCAGGAGGATAGTGGAAACAGTCCAGCTGAACTGCTGGCCTGGTTAAAAGGATGACAACATGAAAAGACGCCTTACACCTAGGTCCTTCCAGCCTGGCACCTACTGGCACATGCCATCACTTGTGGTCCTGCAGCTACCTACTCCAACCTGTTTCAGCCCCACTGCCACTCAGTTTTATAGGGGCAGAGAGAGCGTGAAATCAGCATTTTCCAGGACCAGGAGACCTGGTCCAAATGCCAGCTCTACAAGCTCCAGCAAAGTAGCCTGGGTGAGCTTCAGTTTCTTCATCTGAAGAATTTGGACAAATTTATTCTGCAGGGGGCTGAAGAACAAACACTTGACACTGTTTGTGTCAGAGAACATCTGATTCAGTACCTTGCACATAGTGGGCTTGCAGTTGATGGGCTGCTATGACTGGGTATGAGACAGCAAAGCCAGAGGTCTGGGGTGGAGGGACAGTAGATTTTTGTATGCAGCTGTTGCAAGGACAAGTGGACTGGCTGCCACTGAGTGGCTCAAGCATCCAGAGCTGTCCCTCTGCCAAGCTACAAAGGCCATTGGAACTGATCCTGGAGGTCAGAATCTACTGACCCAAATATATACCTACACTTGTTTACACTTACAGAAGGTGTCATACACAGAGGACACAAGGAGGGCAGTGTTAGGAAAAACGCCACACAAAGAAAGCTCACGAGAAAAGTCTCACATCCATAGAGCAAAGTTTAATAGCAGGCCCAAACTGCCAGGCTGGCCGGGGAAAAGATGGCGCAGCCCCGAGTCTGGGCAAGCAGTGGCTTTTACAGAAGGGGGAGGGTAAGGAAGTTAGTACAGGTGCAGAAGTCTCTTGTAGGGGTGGGGCTGTCTTAGAGCACGGTAATTTAAGGGCGGGGTTGCCATTTTGACTGATTCACAAAATGGCCACATTACTGTTCTATCAGGCAGCACAAAGAGAGTTCCCCGGGGCCTATTTAGAGGAGGATGGAAAGATTTTTAGGAGATACATAGCCATTCCAATCTATTTTAAAAGCATTTCCTACCCTGTGGGATGGGTTGGAGGGAGCTGGAGAGGGACTGGGAGGCTACTGCAACTGCATACCGTGGGATGCAGGCCCTAGAGAGAGGGAGGGTGAAAAGTCCGATTGCTGTTCATTTCTGGCATTGACACTGGGTGGAGGAAAGCAAGGGTTTGGGTTGTGGTTTTGTTACATGCCCGTTTGAAGTGTTGTGGGCCGTGTGGAGGTTCCGGTATACGAAGTAGGATTTATTAGAGAGAAAGGAAAGGCCACAGCTAGAACAGTGCAGCAGAGCCAGAAAACCAGTAGCTCCCTGCTCAGGTAAAGGCTGGGGTTTTTATGGACGTTTTAACTCTGGGTTAGGTGGGTTCTTTTCATTGGCCATGGATTCGCGGGCTTTCTCTGGTGAACTGGTTTGTTTTGGCCCCTTATTGGGGGAGGGGAAACAATCTTGAGAGCATTTTGCTCATCGGCCCTGTGGCAGATCTATCAGACCCAGTATCTCCTGAAGAGGAGAGGATGCAGAAATGCAGACTTACAACTCCCTCTCAGGATGCAGGAATGCAGATTTCAGGATGCAGGAATGATAGTGCTCTCCATGGGGTGGGGGTGGGGGAATGGGACACTCACTCATCTGCCTTGAGTCTGGAGACCCAACAGTCTGAGGCCACACATGGCCTGGGAGAGAGTCAGTGTTTGGAGGGTGGACAGGAAGCTAAAGAGGGGAGAGTCCTTGGGTCCTTGAGGTCAGGAGGCTCCAGAGATACCAGAGGAAATGATCCCCTAAAAGGAGAGGGAGGAGGAGCAACTAGAGAGACAGAAGGAACTGGAAGGTGCAGCCTCCCAAAGAGGGGCGTTTGTAAAATCAGGACAGACCAGGATAGAGCCCCAGGAAGGCCCCAGGCAGCTATGGCTGGACGTGCGTCTTCCTGGGCTCCCTAAATGAAGGGTCAGTTGGGGAGGCATTCGGTAGCTCTTTGTGTGAACTGGCTGGGGTCCCGATGGGTGTGGGTTCCGGCCAAGGACCAGACCGGAAGCGAGTGTGGGGGTCTTCAGAACTCCATGCGGGAGCATCCCAGGGTGGAGGCCCCATGTGACGGCGAGCAGAGTCCGGAGTGGCCACCGTGGCGGGAAGAGCGCTGGGCGGGAGCCACGATCCGCTGGAAGCTGTTGCGTAAACTGCACGCAGAGGCCAGGTGCGGATCTCCTAAGCCCCGGCGTCCTCTGGGGCCCGGAAGAGACGCCGCCGGCGGCCCCCGCGCCGAGCACAGTCCCGACGCGGCACCCGCTGTCGCGATCCGGTAGCGGGTGACGTGTGTGGGCGGGGCCTAAGCGGCCTTGGCTGCAGTGCGATAGAGCATCCTGGAGGCGCCTGGCCACCGGGAGGTAAGCGGGCGGGCCGCGGGTGTGAGGAGGAGCGAGGGAACGCGGTGAGGAGGGGCAGGGCCGGGTCGAGACCGCGTCTTGTGTCTTGTGGGGTCCAACGCACGGTGCCGCAGCCGCCGCCGCGTGCGGGATGCCGGCCGGAAACGGCGCGGGGCGGGCGGGCCGCGGCCGCGTGAGACGCCGCCGGTGAGAGAGTGACGCCAGAAGTGCGGGAGACAGCGAGTGTACGATTGTGTGAGAAGGCGCCGTGTGTGTGTGTGTGTGAGAGAGAGAGAGAGAGCGAGAGAGCGAGGGCGTGATGGTGGCTGTGTGAGTTGTGTGAGTGATGTGTGGAAGACCATGTGTGTGAACGAGAAATGACTCCAAATGGTCCAAGACTCCAAGTCATTTCTCGCGAGGATGACTCCGAGTGTGGGGGGCCTTGAGTGTGGCGGAGACTGTGTGTGCGAAAAGGGGGGAGAAGTGTGGTGGTGACCCCGAGTGTGCAAGACCCTGACTGTGAGGGCGACTGGTGTGCGAGACCTCGAGTGTGAGGGCGATTGTGAGTGAGAGGATGTGAGAGTGGCCTTGAGTGAAACTGATTGTGCAAGAGTCTGAGGAACCTGCCGTCCTGGTGAGAAAGAACCTGTGATGCCAAGTGCGAGAAGGGTCAAGGTGCAAAGCTGTGGATGTGAACACAGGGCAGGAACCATGCTTGCTTCTCCCAACTCCTGCACCCTTTGCCTGGCGCTGGGTCACTGGAGCTCAGGGAACAACAGGGTGCTCCTGTTAATGGCTCTTTTGAGTGTCTCCATATCTTGTCATCTCATTTGACCATTCTCATGTCATAAGTGTCAGGAGATCCTGGTGAAACCTTCTGAAATTTCTCCACTAAGTGCTAAGCCAACAGTCTGGTCACCATGTTGTGTAATGGTCAGTATAAATAGGAATCAACATCTCATTTAACAGATGTCTTGTAGAACCTCTGATGGGCACTGGGCTACATGCTTGGTGACACATTTACAAAGAATTCAGACTCTCTTTGATGGGGGAAAACCCCACAGCCTCAAGCCAGCTAATATAGCAGCGCTATAGCAGAATGCTCAGCCATCTGGCATCTTATTTCTGAAAGCTGCTCCTGGGTGTGAAGATCTAGGAGGAGCAGCCTTAAAGCCTGTAACTACTTCCCCGTGTCCTTTCCACCTCTTGCCTGGTAAGGCCCTTCAGGAAACTACCCAGGCTGCCTTCTTACTAAGATCCCATTGTGGTTGTGCACTGATAGCTTTTGCTTCCTGACTGCTCTCAGGCTGTTATTTGAGTTGTTATATTTGATTTTCCTTTCCTGGCAAATATGTGGCAAATCACAGGCCTGATTTTGTAGTAACTTCCTTACTTCTACCTCCTTCCCTTATTTGGCTGAACATATTATTATTGCAGATCAAAAGTGTATACCGGCTGTATGACCCAGTTCTCTGAACTTCTTGGTAGAGGAAATTTCCTGACCTCTGTGATTCCTGCTGGAGCTGCCAGGCTGTGGAGACGTTTCTATAAGAGTTCTGCAAGCGATGCTCCTGGGACCTGGGGCTCTAGAGCTGTAGCTTGAAGCCATGTGTGGTTGGAGATTGCCGGGCTAGTTTTCTGACGCGTTTGGGCTGATTGCTTTAGTCATACCCCTTGTGGGTACGGGGGAACTCAGTAATTGAGGGCTGCGTCTAATTGGCTTATAAATTTTTACAAAAGGAAATCTAGATTGGTTTTTTGATAAGTTACCTCCTGTTCTTTATTGCAGAGATTGAATGGCCAAATCAGAGAAGTGAAATTAGTTAGCCCTTGCTGTAGAGAATTTGATTCTTCTCGGTACCTGACCCGTTTATGATAAAACAGCTATAAAAGTGTGATTTTCACTTATTTTGTGACAGGCGAATATTGCTGCTCTGTTCTGTATTAGCTGTCTTTGGTCTTTGTGATTTATAAAAAGTTTTAGTTATTTGCATACAATGTGAGCATAGTACCAGTAAAGAGAATGGTTTATTTTATATACATCATTTAGAACTGTTGCTGAGTGCTGGTGGTTCACATCTGTAATCCTAGATACTTGGGAGGCTGAGATCCAGAGGATTGAAGTTTGAGACCAACGCAGGCAAATAGTTTGCCCCATTTCCAAACAAAACAAAACAAAAACCCACAAAAACCTATAGCAAAATAGAGTACAGGGATGGCTCAATCGGTAGAGTGCCTACCTAGCAAGTGTGAAGCCCTGAGTTCAAACTCCAGTACCAAAAAACAAAACAAAACATCTCTTTAGTATTATGTTATGTAACATTGTAGTTTATTATATAAACAAATTGCATATTTATGTTTTGTATTTCTAAGGAATTATTAATTCTGGGCATATAGCTCAGTGGTAGAGTGCTTGCCTAGCATGTGCAAGGCTCAGTGCTGCAAAGGAAAAAAAAAAGTGTTGCCTTTAAAGAGTACTTCTGGTGGTTTATAATTAAAGTTACTTGCAATGAAATTGTTAAAAAGAAATAGGAAGCCAAAACCATGGAAAAGACTTAAGTAGCAAATACTGTGAAAGTAAGGGCATCCTAACCACTGAATTTGATCTTGAGGTTCCTGCTATTTTAGGTAAAAAGGCAAATGTAAAGGGTCACATAATTTTTGTTATTTAGTAGCAAAAAGTTATAATAAGCCAGGTGCCCAGTGGCTTACACCTGTAATCCTTGCTGCTTGGGAGGCAGAAATCAGGAGGGTCGCTGTTAAAGCCAGCCCCAGGCATATCACAAAGGGCTGGCGGAGTGGCTTGGATGGTAAGAGTAACTGCCTAGCAAGTGTGAGGTCCTGAGTTCAAACCCCAATGCTACCAAAAAAAAAATTATAATAAATATATGTACAACTTTTGTTGTAATTGTATGTATATCTGTTTTTTCTTAAGATTGCATGGGAAAGTTTCATGTTTAAATTTTCATGAGGAAATGTTAGTGAACTGGTAATTCCCTTGGTTTTTTTTTTTTTTTTTTTGGGTAATTCCTTTATTATCTGCTATAGGAGTGTGGAAAATAGAATAAAATCCTATTGAGAAGGTATATTGTAGCTTTACCTTTATGGTTTTTTTTTGAAAGCCTTGGGGTTTGAATTCAGGGCTTCCCACTTGGCTAGGCAGGTGCTTTGCCACTTGAACCACTCTGTCAGCCCTAGTTGGGGCAAATAGTTCATAAGACCCTATCTGGAAAAAACCCAACCCAAAATAGGGCTAGTAGAGTGGCTCAAGTAGTAGAAAGTCTACCTAGCAAGCATAAGGCCCTGAGTTCAAACCCCACGCCACAGAAAAATAACAACAACAAAATCCTATTTGCCCTGGCTGCCTTTGAACTGTGATCCTACTGATCTCTGCCTCCCAAGTACCTAGGATTACAGGCATGAGCCACTGGCACCCAGCTATGTTTTTTCTTTCTTTTTTTGTAGTCCTTCCTGGGGATAGAATCCAGGGCCTCAAGCATGCTAAACACTGAGCTACACTCCTAGCTCCTGCTTTGTGTCTTTACAAGAAGGGCTTAAGACTGTTTTTTTCAAGATAGGACCTTATTGGGTAAATTGAATAATGGAAATTTTTTTTTAACAGTGATTTTAGAAATTTCATTGTATTAGAGAGTGACTGAGAGGCTGACACTGTCTATGATCATTTCATACTGAGTTCTCTTACTTTATTTTTTTTTAAATTGAAGGCAGATGGGTAGTTGACTCAGGGTGGTCCTGTAAAATTTGGATGACTCCCTCATAATACCAAGCTACCTAGATGAGAGATTGGCTTACTGATGGGCCCCTTGAATCATCAATTTTCATTGTTGCAGAGGGCCTACAGGTCTACTCTGTGGGGACAGTGTAGACAACATGTCTCACACAGGTATGGACTCATTTTGGGGAAATATGTAGTACTGTTGTGACTGATAAATGCAAAATGAATTCAAAAGTATTACTGTTGTCAGAGTACCTACTTTTGTCATTTTTTTCTTCATCAGCTTTTACCTGAAGAACAAAAACTATGATAGAAAATGTCTGATGATAATATATACTTACTCCAGCTTTTCTCTTTCTCTCTCTCTCTGAGACAGGGTCTTGCTCTGTAGCCCAGACTGGCCTCAAACTTGAAATACTTCTGTTTCACCCTCCCCAGTGCTGGAATTAATAGATGTGCCACTACACCTGATGCTTCAGCTTTCTTTTGATTACCTTTTTCCTGTCCCTTTTACCTGTAACTTATTTATGTCTTTATATTTAAAGCAGAATTTTTTTTTTTGAGTAGAGTTTCACTATGTTGCCCAGGGTGACTGTGATCTCACCATCCTCCTACCTTACCCTCTAGAGTATAGGAATTGTAGGCATGTGCCATGATGCCTGGCTAAAATGGGTTTCTTATTCTTATAGACTACATATTGGGATTTGCTTCATTAACTGTCTGTCTTTTACTTGATATGTTTAGATCACTTACATTAATGTAATTATTTATATATTGTTATCTTGTCTATTTTTTTTTTTTTTGTGCGGTACTGGGGTTTGAATTCAGGGTCTATACCTTGAGCCACTCCACAAGCCCTTTTTTGTGTTGGGTGTTTTCAAGATAGGGTCTTGTGAATTATTTGCCTTGGCTGGCCACTAACAACAATCCTCTTGATCTGTGCCTCCTGAGTAGCTAGGATTACAGGCGTGAGCCACCGGCACCAGTTTATTTGTACTATATGTTCTTTGTTCCCTTTTTCCTCTTTCTACTTTGGGATTTTTTTTTTTTTTTTTTTTTGGTGGGATGGGGATTTTAACTTCAAACTTCATACATACTATAGGTGTGAGCCAACAGTTCCCGGCTTTTTTGTTTCTTTTTTTTTTTTTTTTTTTTTTTGGCAGTATGGGGATTTGTACTTGTTCAACAGGTACTCTACTACTTGAGCCATGCCTCCAGCCCAGTCTTGTCCTGTTGATCACTTTGCATTTAGATTGTGAATTGTTCTTGCTTTCTTTTGTTGCTTGTAATTTGTTGTTGATTGCCAAACATAGTATGTAGAAAGTAGAGACTGTTCTATATAATATTTATTCTGGGGAATGTGTCTGCCTCTTCTTTTGCTAGGTTGTTGGTGAGGGAGTTTGAGTCAATTAAGAGAGTTGTGAAAAAAACAAAACAAAACAAAAAAGAGAACAGTTGTATTTGGGTTTTGTTGTTGCTGTGGTTACTTAGGTATTCTTACCTTCAAATTCCTCTGGTGTTTACTTGTGCTTAGTGTTGGTTTGCTTTGCTAGAGGGAAGGTTTTCTTAGCAGTTTATATGCTACCCTCAGCTTCAGCTCTTCTTTGTGCAGTCTACCACAGTCTTAGTGGCAGACTACTGTTGCTTGTTCCTGGGTCGTGGGGAGCAGGAAGGCTCTATGTTGTCCTGGTTCAGTCTCAGTCTCAGGAGTGTTTCCTTGAGTCCTAGGGGTGGATCTTTTTGGTGATTCTCCCCTTTCCCAGAAGTAGGACTTCTTTTATGGTCTTATGGTCCCTTCTACCCCTCCTCCCCCTGGTATAGAGGGTTTTTATTTTTTTATTTTACCCTGTTGTAGCTGCTTTGGGAGTGACAGAGTTTGCTTTTCTTTTGCCAGGGGTTTACAGTTTTATTTTTTGGAGGAGAAAGGTCCAGATGGACCTTTGTATTTTTCCTCTTCAGCACTACTAAGATAGGCTTTCTCTGGTTTCCTGTTTAGTATTCTTGTGAGCACCTACTGAGGTTGGTGGAAAATAACCTCTGGAGTGTCTGTGGCTCTTGCTAACCTGCATTTGGCCTTTAGTAATTCATTAAAAATTAGATTTGTATTCTTCTTACCCATCTGTATGGTAATCTTGTCTTTTTCTCTACTGCTGCTGCAGATAAGCCCAACTTTATGTTGCTTTCTCCTTGGGGGGGTACCTGTCTTTCCTTCCATTTCAGTCAAGTTGGTTACCTCAGCTTTCTGATAGCTTCAAGAAAAATTATAGTTTTATAGTTTATGCAACTTTTTCTTTTCTTTCTTTCTTTCTTTATTATTCATATGTGCATACAATGCTTGGGTCCTTTCTCTCCCCTGCCCCCACCCCCTCTCTTACCACCTACCCCGCCCCCTCCCTTCCCCCCCCACCTCAATACCCAGCAGAAACTATTTTGCCCTTATCTCTAATTTTGTTGAAGAGAGAATATAAGCAATAATAGGAAGGAACAAGGGTTTTTGCTAGTTGAGATAAGGATAGCTATACAGGGAGTTGACACACATTAATTTCCTGTGCATGTGTGTTACCTTCTAGGTTAATTCTTTTTGATCTAACCTTTTCTCTAGTTCCTGGTCCCCTTCTTCTATTGGCCTCCATTGCTTTTAAGGTATCTGCTTTAGTTTCTCTGCGTTGAGGGCAACAAATGCTAACTAATTTTTTAGCTGTCTTACCTATCCTCATACTTCCCTTGTGTGCTCTCGCTTTTATCTTGTGATCTAAGTTCAATCACCTTGTTGTGTTTGCCCTTGATCTAATGTCCACATATGAGGGAGAACATACGATTTTTGGTCTTTTGGGCCAGGCTAACCTCACTCAGAATGATGTTCTCCAATTCCATCCATTTATCAGCGAATGATAACATTTCGTTCTTCTTCATGGCTAGGTTATGCAACTTTTTCTTGTCCTTGAAGTGAAAACAATGCTTTTCCCAGCTTTCTACAACCTAAGTGGAAGTTACTAGTAGAGGGCTTCCCATTTTATGTTGGACTTTACTTTCCAGTAAAACGAACTTCCCTCCTTCTTTTCCTTGCTTTCAGAATTTTTCTCTCAGCAGTGTTAACCCTACTAAGGAAGGCTTCGATTTTATCAGAGTTTCAAATTGTCTAATCTGATGCTCACAAAAGATCAATGAGGCTGTTTGGGAAGAAGAGAAATATGAGGCACAGCTAGCTGGTGAGTTCTGGCCTCTGACTGTGGGACTTCTGGCTCCATGTCCTCCTCATTTCCATGCTGCCCTACTCCCTGATTGTTCTATGAGGATATGGTTCAATTTTGTTAATTCCTTGGTCCCCAGCACACAGCCTGACATAATGTAGGTGCTTGGCAGAGAGGCATGTGAGGTGAGGTTTACATATAGAGGATAGATGAGGAATGGCTTTGGAGTTGGGTGGCTAAGCAAACCTAGAACTTAGCCATCTGTCCTCGGGGAGCCTGCTGGGATACACTACAACTCTGTTCTGTTTAGCAAAGATATAGGGACTTTAATTACTTTGGCCAAGGACAGACACCTAGTGACACTTGAGTTTTGTTTCGAGTGAAGATAAAGAAAATTCAACTGCTCTCAGTTGTGTGTGACTTTGTTGCACTCCTTGGCTACGGAAGTTCCAGCAGGAACTTGTCCCCCATTCAGGTGCTGGGACTGAAATTCTAGGCAAGAGGTCTTATGGGGCTATGACAGTTCCCCACCCTTCCAAAAACACCACGGAACAGTTTTAGTGTATCGAATACACTTAATAAAGCCACATCAAGGTGGGCACTACTGACTCATGCCTGTAACCTTAGCTACTTGGGAGACAGATCAGGAGGATCGCAGTTTGAGGTGAGCTCAGGTGAATAGTTTGTGCGACCCCACCTACAAAATAACCAGAGCAGCTGGGCTCTGGTGGCTCAAGTTTATAATCCTAGCTACTCAGGAGGCAGAGATCAGGAGGACTGAGGTTCAAAGCTAACCTGGGAAAATAGTTCACAAGACCCTATCTTGAAAAATACCTAAACAAAACAGGGCTGTCAGAGTGGCTTAAGTGGTAGAGTGTCTGCCTCATTTGAAGCCCTGAGTTCAAACCCCAGTACTGCAAAAAAAAAAAAAAAAAAAAAAAAGAGCAAAATGGACTGGAGGCATAGTTCAAGTGATAAACTGTCTGCCTTGCAAGCACAAAGCCCCGAGTTCAAACCCCAGTCACACACACAAACAAAAGAAGCCATACCAGGGACACCAGTGCCAGGCTGTACAAGTACAAAAGGAACACCTGGAGGCTTTTCTGCTTGCCTCTGCATTGAGTTAGGAAGAAAAGGCAACCCAAGTCTCTTTGCACTGCCTCTTACATGAGACTGTAGGCGCCCTAGCTGTTTACTGGTTTTGTTCCCATGGATGCCTAGACTCACCTGACATACACGTGAGAACGATTATGCTTCCACATGTCTGCGTAGGGAAACCTGGGTGACTTGGTGCCAAGAATGAAAAGAAAAGTGGTGCTGCCGAATACCCAGCTTCAGATAAGTGGATGTAAGCAGGCTCAAATCTTCTGGGACTGGGGAAATCTGCTAGTGCCACAGAGGAGCTTTTTCACTTGGGCTCAGGTCCAGACTCTAGAAGGGGATTGGAACAAGTAAGGTAGGAGTTTTGGTGGGGTCTACGGAGATCAGAGTTTTGGGAGTACTATTTACTCTCAAGTGACTGTGATTCCCTTGCTTTGAGCTCATGAGACAAGGATCTGGCATATATATTTTTGTTGAGTAGAGGAGAGGTTTCTGGGATGCTGGATACAAGGTCAGGAAGGTGTTTATCTTTCTCTAACAGATTCTGTGTCCTTCAAAGCTTAATGTGGAATCCAACTTCCTTGAGGTTTCTGGATTGATCAGGCTCCAATCCTAAAGTAGTGTGTGTGTGTGTGTGTGTGTGTGTTGTGTACACGTGCATCATCTCTCTACAACACAGATCTGTGGCTTAAGAGAAGCCTATGGCTTTTGTTGGGTAGTAAGACTCCTGGGTACTCTTCTGGGAAAATCTCTTTGCAACTCCAGATGGTAGTGAAGAGCATGCTGAGGAAGATAGCAAATAAGCCAGTAACAAGTTAGCCCAGGTTAGGATACCTCCTGGATATCCTTTCTCTCTTTTGTCTTATTATGTAATCTCTTTTCTTTTGGATGCTTGGAAAAATAAAAGCGCCCATTGAGCTAGTAGCAATGTGGGGAATAAGGTGGGTATGGTGGACACAGCAACATATGACTGAGTATTTTCAAGAAGGTCTCTGCAATAGTGGTAAACTCTTGTCTTAGCATCTTTGCTCTTTCCTCCACTTGCTCATGTTCTTTGCCCACTTGAGAGTAGCTGTAGACCTTCTCATATAGAAGTCCCTCTTATGTTACCTAGTATGGATAGTGAGAGGGCTTTGGGCCAGTGAGAGCTGTGTACCTGCTGCAGAGACTGTGGTCTTCGCCGCAGAGCAAGTTTGTGGGTTTTATGTTGGTAAAAACACAGCAAAATCAACGACCAGGGAGAATCTATGCTGTGGACACAGGACAACCTACCCTGCTTGATAAGACAAGTCTCTTGATGGAAGTTGTTATCCGATCATGCCTAATCTCTCATGATGTCTTCTTCAGGGGCAGTGGAGATCTGCCTACCTTTGTGTGCTTGTGTCTTGTGGTGGAAATGAGACAGGCCTATTGTATTGTGTGTGTGGCAAGTTGTCCCTAAGCAGGAGTTGGGCAGGGAAATCTGCCTGCCTTTCAGGTCTAAACTGGAGCCTCACCTGCTCCTGTCTTAGACTTGACATACTTGTTTTTTTGCCAGGCCACGGTAAACAGGTGTGCAGGAGCCATTTGCCATGGAAGCCAGGGAGCATGGGAGCCCCACACCCACCTACCACCTCCTCACCTCAGCCAACCAGCCCAGGGTGGAAGAAGATGTCAGCTCACCACCTCGAGAACCCTCAGAGACTATGCAACTTAAGAAGGAGATCTCTCTGTTGAATGGGGTCAGCCTGGTGGTAGGCAACATGATCGGCTCAGGGATCTTTGTCTCACCCAAAGGGGTGCTGGTGTACACTGCCTCCTATGGCTTGTCGCTAGTTGTATGGGCCATTGGTGGGCTCTTCTCTGTTGTGGGTGCCCTGTGCTATGCTGAGCTGGGGACCACCATCACCAAGTCAGGGGCCAGCTATGCTTATATTCTGGAGGCCTTTGGGGGCTTCGTTGCCTTCATCCGTCTGTGGGCCTCATTGCTAATTGTTGAGCCCACCAGTCAGGCCATCATTGCCATCACCTTCGCCAACTACATCATCCAGCCGTCCTTCCCCACCTGTGATCCCCCATACGTGGCCTGCCGTCTCCTTGCTGCTGCCTGCATATGTAAGTATGGGGGCTGAGTGTGGGAGGATACATGGGGGTGTGGGGTACTATGATAATTGTATGTGTACCTTATATTTGAATAGCATATTTTGCTCTTTTGTTTGGGGGGAGGCTTCAGACCACCCCCTTTTTTTTTTTTTGACAGGATTAGAGTTTGAACTAAAGGTTTCCTACTTGAAAAGCAGGCGCTCTACCACTTAAACCATACCTCCAGTCCATTTTGCTCTGATTATTTTGGAGATGGGGGGTCTCTCAAACTCGTTGCCCAGGCTGGCCTCAAACCACAATCCTCCTGATCTCGGTGTCCTAAGTAGCTAGGATTATAGATGTGAGCCACCAGCCCCTGGCTTGCTTCTTACCTTTTGAGAAGTAATTTTACCAAAGTCATTTGGTCCTGAGAGATAAGTAAGCATAAAGGATAGAGAAGGAAGAAGTTTGAATCTGTTTTCATGTTTTTTTGGTGCCTTACATTCCTCTTACTTTTGGTCTCGAATTCTATTTCTTTTTCTGTGTGACAAGTTGGTACATATATTTTGTTTTGGTCAGGTGTTTCAATTTGGTGTTAACATTACTAGTTGTAACTCAGTGCAGAAGAAAAAAATCAGTGTTGAGGTCTTTATTCTGCTGCTCAGAAGAAGCAGGGGTAGTGATGGTATTTTACTTTCCAGCTTTTCCTCTTCAACCAATTTAAACATGACAGTGAGGAAATAGGCTTTTCATGGACAATGGGGGTCCCGGGCCTTATCCCTTAGCTCTCAGGACCAACTCCTGCCACTGACTCCTTGTGACCTGTTCTAAGAAGCATGGCACCACACCAAATGGCTTTTTCCCATTGGTGTTTCAGATATTTTTACACTGACTTTGTAAACAAGTTCTTTCTGGAGCCAGGAGAGGAAAATGGCTTCTACTCCACATATAAGTTTCTGAAGACAGAGCCTTGAGAGACCCCAGTGGATCCCTGTTTATTTTCTTTTCTCTCTTATGGGGTGGAAAATCTGAGTGAAATGGTATTCTGAGTGAAATCACAGAAAGGCGAGAAGATTGCTGTGAATTTACCCAGCCTTGCAGAGCTAGTGCTCCAGCTAGCCCAGAATTCCCTGTATTCTTTAGCATTGTGCTGCCAAAAGCGCTTAATTATACTCTGTTCTTTCCTATCTGTGCTTGCAAAAGCTTTGGCTGTATGTATATATATATAGTTTATCCACATGGTTAAAAATAGACTGAGAGTACTTTGGAGTTAGTAATAAAGGATTGTACAGTACAGCATGCCTCTTGACTTTAAGGATTTTGTTAAAGGCAAACAACAAAGGTAATCCTTCCATATCTCTTGAGACAGTGAGGGAGAAACAAATACTAATAGTCTTTGGCCAGGGAACTTCTGGCCTTACTGAGCTCTCTAAAAAAGAAAATAATTTTGTGATTATAAAACATACTCATTAAGGAGAAAATTAAATTACCCTCAAATCTACCATCAAGAGATGATTAGGGATGGTATCTTTATTTCTTTTATAGAATCGACATCAGACTTGGCTTATAATTTCAAATTATACATTTAACTTAGCAGAACATAACTCCTCTACCTCTCCCCTATTTCATAAAATGTTTTTCAAAAGCTCTTAGCATTTAAGCCACTCTGCCAGCCCTTTTTTTTTTTTGATGGGTTTTTTCGAGATAGGGTCTCACAAACTATTTGCTTGGAGTTAACTTCGAACCATAGTCCTCCTGATCTCTGCCTCCTGGGTAGCTAGGGTTATAGGTGTGAGCCACTGGTGCTCGGCTCAAAAGCAACCTTTTTAAATTGTGTGTGTGTGTGTGTTTTTTTTAATTGATAGCTAATATATGGACTCTCTATAGATATGTCGAAAAATGCAAAAAAAAAAAAAAAAAGGGAAAAATCAAAGCTGGGCACCAGTGGCTCATGCCTGTAAATCCTAGCTAATCAAAGGCAGAGATCATGGCTCAAAGCCAGCCCTAGGGAAATAGTTTTCGAGACCCTATCTGGAAAAAAAGCCATCACAAAAAAGGCTGGAAGAGTGGCTCAAGTGGTAAGAGCACCTGCCTCGCAAGGCCCTGAGTTCAAACCCAGTGCTGCCAAAAATAAATAAGTAAAATTGCCCATGATTTTACTTCTCAGAGAACTATTGTTTCTATATCAGTGAAATACCTCCCAGTATTTTTTTTCTGTGTATATCTGTGATGTTTTTTAAAAAAGTCATACTATTTTTGATTTGTGTACTCGTTTTTTTGTTGTTGTTGTTTTGTTTTTTTATGGTAATGGAGTTTGAACTCAGGGCCTACACCTCAAGCCACTCTGCCAGCCCTATTTTTGTGAAGGGATTTTCGAGATAGAGTCTGTGAACTGTTTGCCTGGGCTGGCTTCAAACCGCAATCCTCCTGATCTCTGTCTCTTGAGTAGCTAGTATTACAGACGTGAGCCAGTGACGCCTGGATCCTTTTTAATCTCTTTCATCAAATATTTTTAGAAAACATGGTTTGGGAGGTGGGTGCAAGGCTCAAGTGATAGAGCACTTGCTCAGGAAGCATGAGGCCTTAAGTTCAAATCCCATTTACTGCCCCAGATCAACCAACCAAACAAATAAAAAACATGGTTTGGGGACATATAATTTCCGGGTAGTACAGTACAATGGCTAAGCCACAGGCTCCTGTGTCAAACTAAATTTAATTTCTAACTTTTTTCATTGACTGGCTATTGATCTTGGGGAGTTAACTGCTGCCTCAGTTTTCTCATTTGTGGAATGAAATTTTTGATAGTGCCTAGCTGAAAAGATTGTTAAGAGGAATACACGTATAAGTGCTTCTTTCTACCTGATATATAACAAGTGCTCTATAATGTTATTATAAATAATGCTGTTGTGATTATCTTTGTCATTGAATCATTTTAGAGTTTCTGCTTTTTTTTTTTTTTTTTTTTTGGTAGTACTGGGGTTTGAACTCAGGGCCTCACACTTACTAGGCAGGTGCTCTGCCAGTTGAGCCACTCTATCAGCCCTCTACTATTTCTTAGAATGAAATTGTACTGGCATCTAAGGGAATAAACTTTTGTAGGATTCTTTCTGTGTTACCAGTTGCTTTCTAGAATGTTCTGAGAATTTGTCTTCCTATCTGAGTATCTGACAGTGCTTGTGCATTGGTCTATGATGGCCTTAGAGTGAATTCAAAGAACAACCAAGGAGCTGGACATGTGTGGCTCAAGTGGTAGAGTGCCTAGCAAGTGTGAGGCCTTGAGTTCAAATCCCCTGTACCACCAAATAAATAAACAGATAAATAAATAACAACCAAGTCAGAGGGTAGTGATTTATAAGATTTTTTACACACAGGAGCTTTTTATTTTTATTTTTAGTTGTTAAATCTTTATTTTTTTTTCCTTTATGAATTTTCTAATTTTTTTGTATGTTCTTAGAAAGTCCATCCCCACACTAGAAACTGATCTTTTGACTGGAGGAGCAGTCTTACTTCTTAGAAATGCAAAATCACAATATTTCCTGGCCTCTTTCATTCAAGTTGTACATTTACCAGATTTCTCAGGACTGGAATTCTTACAAGCCCCCTGTCCCTAAAGCTCAGGCTTTTCCAGAATTCAGGTCTGAGGGCAGGAACTTGTCAGAAAGAAATAGTGCTGAGTCTTAAAACCATAGTCCATTCTAACTGACTAGGCTTTGTGATTCAGCTTATTTTCCTTCTTGGAATTTATGTCATAGAATCAGGCTTTACACAGAGCTGGGGTATGCTGGAAGGGAATCTATGGGTAGGAATAGCAGTGGGAGCAACCTGATCTCAAGAGACATAAAGTGCAAGAAACCAATAGGTCACAATTACAGAAGGAAAAAAAAAAAGTTATAGCCATGCCAGGCTAGACAGTTAAAGTTCCATTCTAGAGTGAAGGACTTAGGACATCTACATATAACCAACTCTAGGACAGAGACTGTGAACTGCCATGGCATCAGCCACCTTGGCCCATATAGGATTTGTTAGGCCTGCATAGTGTTTTGTTTTCTTTTTAAATTTTTTTTTATGGGATTGGGGTTTGAACTCAGGGCCAGGGCTTTGCACTTGCACAGTGGGCGCTCTACTATTTAAGCCATACCTCCAGCCCATTTTGCTGTGGTTATTTTGAAGATAGGACTATTTGCTTGGACTGGCTTTGAAACTGGAATTTTGGACCCAGGGCCCAAACTCCTGGGATTCCATATGCCAGGTCCATCCATTCATCCCTATAAGCCAAATGGTGAAGGGCAGAGAAAGATTTATTACACGGCTTGGGACATGAGGTAGGAAGAGGTAGAGTAAGCGTTCAGCCTGCCTTCAGCCATCTTTGAGATACAGACATGAGCTTTGGCTTTAACTAAACAAAGATTTGGGGGCAGGGGAAGAAAGGTGTGCATAGTTAAACAGTCCCAGTCACAGGTATGAGCTGGTTGGTCATTATCTCATCCTTGTTCTAGGAAGGGTTCAGGAGCTGTTATTCAGAGTCATTGTTGTCTAGCAGATGGTCCATCCCGAGAAGGCTGTACTATTGGAGTAATTTCTGTCCCTTGTCATGAAGATGTTTTCAGTTCTATCTTTTCTGGAATCCAAGGAAGTTGCAGAATGACTGCAGGGAGAATGGCTTAGAGCAAAGACAAATACAAAATGAAGGAGAGATGCCATGCTTTTCTCCTGCTTTTAGTTATCTTCTGGGCCTGAGTAAGGAGTCCGTTCTTTTCAGCAAAACTGGTATCCTTCCAATCTTAGCCTCCCAAGTAGCTAGGATTATTGGCGTAAGCCACCAGCACCCAGCATGCATAATGTTTTAAATAATTTTGAATTAGTTTCCAATATTAAAAAAAAATCAAGATTTGCTCTCCATCTCTATCTCCCTCTCATTTGAGACAGTGTCTAATAGCCTAGGCTGGCCTGGAACTTGGGATCTTGCTGCCTCAGCTTTCTGAGTGCTGGGTTTACAGGCATGAGTTGGGCTTTTTATTTTTTTATTTTTTATT